ATTGGCCATTCATCACAGAGATATTGCAAATGGTGGAAGCAGGTGAAAACTTTATTAAGATAATTCAAGTTATATATAACGAACAAAGAGCAAGAGTAATGGTGAATGGCAAACTGACAAACACTTTTAAGATCCAAAAGGGGACTAGAAAAGGATGCCCCTTATCTCCTCTTATATTCATCCTAACCTTAGAGGTATTAAACAATGCAATAAGAAGGGATAAAGAGATTATTGGACTAAAATTGAAAGGAGAAGAATACAAACTATTAGCTTTTGCTGATGATATTACATTTATTATGGAACAACCGAAGGAAGTAGCCGTTAAACTAAAAGAAAGGATTCAAGAATATGAACAAGTAGCGGGACTGAAAATAAATGTGAACAAAACTAAGATTTTGACAAAAAATATGGATGTGAAACAAAGAGAAAATCTATATCAAGCTACTGGTTTCAAATTGTTGATAAGGTAAAATACCTTGGAATTACAATTACTAACAAGTGCAGTTCTTTTTTTGCGGACAACTACAAAGTATTATGGGAAAAAACTAAACAAGACTTAAAAGGTTGGGGAAATTTACAATTATTCATAATGGGAAGAATTGCAATAATAAAAAATGAATATATTACCCAGATGGATGTTTCTTTTTCAAACAATCCCCATTTTACAAAACCAAAAGATTTTTAAAGAGTTAGATCAATTAACATCCAAATTTATTTCACAAGGGAAGCGAGCACGAATAAGACTTAAAATTATGCAAGACGTTAAAGAGAAAGGTGGATTTGGAGGTTCAAATTGGCTATTATATTACAAGGCCGCAGCATTAACCTGGTTAAAGGAATGGATTACTTTGGAAGACAGAAGGCTGTTGAAACTTGAAGGCCATGATTTAGATTTAGGATGGAACGCATTCTTATGGTATGAGAAAGCCTCAACACAGAAATATTTTAAGCAGCACTGGCTAAGAGCGGCTTTATTAAAAGTATGGGATCCAATCTATAGAAGGTTTTATATTAAAAGAGACTCATAGTACCATTGGAAGCATTTACCTTGCCAAATGTCTTTACAGGTGAAGAACTATTTAGATAGCAAGATATTTTGGATGAGAAAGACTGCTTGAAATTGCCAGAACACGTGTCTTGGTGGAATAAAACGCAATTATAATCTATCTATAATAAAGATAAAAAGACTGGTTTTAATGACAAACTAACTGAATTAGAAAAAACTCTTGTATTTTTGGATGATAAACTGACAAAGAAAATCTATAAAATTTTGTTAGAGGATTTTCTGTTAGATTAAACAGTTAAGCAAAATATGATTTTATGGGCTCAAAATGTAGGTCATAATATTACTCTGAGAGAGTGGGACCAGATATGGTCTAAAAACATTAAAATGACTAAGGCAGTATCATATAAAGAAAATATGTATAAGATGTTTTATAGATGGTATATTACACCAGATAAACTTGCTAAGCGGAATGAAAATTGTTCAGATAAATGTTGGAAATGTAAAAATAAGATAGTACATTTTATCATATGTGGTGGCTTTGAGATGTAACAAAGAGATACTGGAGATGGACTCACGACACTTCCGGTGTACGGAGACACACAGGCAGACACATCTCCCGGATGTCCCGGGGATGTAAACAGCACACCAGCATGTGGGAGGGGTCTGATGGGTCGCGACCGCCCTGAAGCCTTGGTAAAGGGCTCCCAGCCAGGGGGCTTTTGAGGGGTGACCTCTTCGATGGCCGAATGCAGAAGAATTGAGGCACCCCTCCGCCCCGAAGGTCCTGCCGCTGAGTGACCGCATGATACGAGTGCTGCTGACCGGGACAAGCGTTGGAGATCGGGCGAAATAAATGATGACGAGTGAGGCCAAATGGCCAACAATGAACTGTGAGTTGGGTTGAAGCGAGCATGAAGATATAAAAAGAAGCTGCCCCCCCTAAAGAGCAACAGGAAAGCGAGCGGGGGAGGGGTCCCTCCCAAACGCATAGACAGAACACGGACGGAAAGAGGGGGGAGTGGAAAAATAAGTGACTAAAACTGTTTTAAGAGACTTACCAGAGCGCAGAAAAGCGTTCGGGCGAATATCAGAGACTTTAGCAACTTTTTTGAAAAGTAAACAAACCCAAAAAGATGGCGGGGAAGAAACCGGAGAAAGAGAAGCTGTTGAAACCGAAACTAGGGGCCAGTCCTCAAACAGATGAGGTCACTGAGCTCTCAAAACTCTTGGCTGACTCCCTGCGCCCCCTGCT